TCCCCCCCTCCTCTCCGGTCTCTCCTTGTTTCACGCTCCTGACGGCGCACCAGCGCCAGGAGCTCCTTGACCCGGCTCTGGCCGTGCGCCCAGGCGCGGTGTTCCTGCGCCGTCCGTCCGTCCGTCCGTCTGTCCGCGGGGCTGGGGCCGCGCTGCACAGCGGGTAAGCTCGGATCCGAGGGGGCGGCGGGCAGGTGCCCGCTCGGGCCGGGCCGGGCCGGGAGGAGGAGGAGGAGGAGGAGGAGGCCGGGCGCCGGCCGGCCTTGCGCTAGGCCCGGGCAGGCAGCGGAGGAGCCCCTCGCACCCGGCCAGCCCTGAAATCCTTCTGTTGCTCAGATGTGGCTCATCTGTAGCTCAGATGTGGGGGCAAATAAGTGCTTAGCCCTAACAAGGGATTAAAAGATGTTTCGTGAAGCTGCGGGTTGGCTCCTTGAAGTAGGGGGCCGTTGCCGGGCTCGCCCTGCTGTCTGCCCGACTGGCGTGAGGGGTTAGGCGGGGGAGGCTGAGCTGCAGAGGGATGGAAGGGACGGGGAGCAGGAGCGGCACCTCCTCCTCGGTCGTCGCAGACTGGAGTTTGGTGTTTTGGACTCTGTGCTCTGTGATCCTGCCGGTGCTCATCACCTTGTGGTGCAGCTTCCAGCGGTCCCGGCGGCAGGTATTGATACGAGACATCTTTTGCAAGAGCAAGCATGACTGGCACTACACGGACCTCTTTGGCCAGCCCTCCTACTGCTGCGTGTGTGCTCAGCACATCCTTCAGGGTGCTTTCTGCAACTGCTGCGGGCTGCGTGTCAGCGAAGGATGCCTCAAGAAGGCTGACCAGCTTTTTCTCTGCAAGGAAATTATGATGAGGAGCAATGGTGGAGCCCACAGCTCTATGCCACACCACTGGATCAGAGGCAATGTCCCACTCTGCAGCTGCTGTATGATATGCAAGCAACAGTGCGGCACACAGCCCAAGCTCTGCGACTACAGGTACTGCAAGGGAATTTGGCTTTGTATGAGCAAGTACGATGCCATATCAGTATTGTATTTTCCACAGGGTTATTGGAATACGTTACCCCAAAGGAGATCCTGCAATAGTCAGATATGAAACTCTGTTAAAAAAACAACTTCAGAGAACCTAAAATTAAAATGGATGCTTGTGGGTAACTTGAGTCATGGATTAAGAGTATGACGTTGCATCTCATGTCTGCTTGTTCTCTTAATTGCATTACTCCAGCATGATGTGCTGGCTACTCTATAATTACATATAAAAGGCTCTCTATGTCCAAGAGAGTTTAATTTTAGGGGATGACTTTAATAAGGTTCTAACACGTTTGTCATTTGTACTGTGGATAGCCTGAGCAATTTGGGTGGCACGGCTCACAATTCAGAGCGCCAAAATGTGTATTTATCTGCAAAATTGGCATCTGCTCAGTGTAACTAGAACAAACACCTGCCCTATAGCTGTTTTAAGTTCATTTTTAAGGGTACTCAGAAAAAGCTAATGGGAAGTTTTAAAAGCTACTGTAATATTGTTAAAGTTTGTGGTAAGAGTGTTAAAAAAATCTCAAGGAACCGTTGAATGGGCTTGTGCTGTCATCAGCAGGGCTGCTTGCAAAGTTGTCAGCGTGACAGATAGTGGCATGTTATGCCAAAATCTAGTGCTAGTGGTCTGGGCCCTGGGTACGGTGTATGTGTGACTTCAGCCTTCTCAAAGGATGTCGTCTTTCCAGCATATATTCTGCCAGCTTTTGTTTTGCTTCTGTGATACTGTCAAATTGCTTGGTAAGTAAGCAGAATTACAGTGTAAATGAGCATACTATCAGAAACAAAACCTTGAGAGAGAGTGTGCGTAGGAGAGGATTTTGGAGGCAAAGGGAGAAGGAAGAAGAGGAAAAGAAGAACGTCACAGTACAGGGCAAGTGTCATTGCTACTCTAGTTGTGTGCTGGATTAGTCAGAAAGACTCCAAAAATAGCTTTCACAGCTGCTTAAACCAAGGCTTTGGATGTAGCAAACGAGGATTAACATTCTGCAGAGGCTGGCAGTGGATATTGCAGTATTTCCTCTTGTTCTGGTCCATTTTCCAGGACGGCTTTTAGAATAGGTCAAAAAGCTGAGCAGTTTTGCATAACAAAATCCCATCGGCCTTATGCAGTACTGTGTAACCTCTTAGGTTTCAGACTTAAAGGGGTGTTATCAATCTTAAGAAATTTATTAATTATTGTTATTAGTAACACTTTATTAAATTGAACTTTAGTGTTTTATCTATACTCTTTAAGGACGGATAGGAGTTCAGTTTCTCATGCAAGCTTTCAGTGTAGCTGTTTATATTGCAGACAGTGCAAGAGGATATTTATAGCATCTGTTTTGGGAATTAAAAAGCATAGAATTAATTTAAAACTGTTGGGTTTTTTTGCCACAGAATTAAAATACTTTTCTAGATTTGCAAGCACATGACCAAGTTATGTAATTTTTTTGTAGCCAATACATAGTCATGGAAAATTCCAAGGAATGCATGGTTTTGTCTGTAACATGCTTAAAATATTACTTATAATGGTGCATGTAAACATAAGTACTTTTTAGAAAGTTAGTCTTATCTAAAATAAATGAACAAAATGGATGTGCCTATTGTTTGAGGATTTTTTTTTTTCATGTTTTTTGGTCTTTTTTCCAGATGTGTGTGGTGTCAGTACACTGTACATGATGAGTGCATGATGGATTGTTTAAAGACTGAGGAGTGTACATTTGGAGAATTCAGAGACTTAATTATTCCACCATACTATTTGTCTACAATCAACCAGATGCGTAAAGACAAAAGAACCAATTATGAAAAGGTAATTGTCTACTGCTTCTTGGTTTTATAATATATTAAAAAAACCAAACCAAAACCAAAAAAAAATGCACACCCCACCCCACCCCAAAAAAACACCCACACATTAAAACTTGAACTCAGTACATTGTCAGGTTAATAACTATCAGGTAAATGTTTCAATATATATGAAGTACTTGCAATGTTAATTTGGAGGTGTTTGTCATTTTATTAACATGGTAGTTGAAGCATGAGCAGACATTTGGATTTTATTGTTCCAAAACAACACGTGAGATTTGGGTACCTTAATTCCTTGAATGTTTT